GGGGGGGGGGGGGGGGGGGGGGGGGGGGGGGGGGGGCGTTGATTGTCCTATTTGCCACGGGGGAGAGGCGGGGGGTTCACGTCGTATCTTGCCTCTGCACGTAAGTCTATGCGGACTATTGACCTCGCCCATCACTGCACGTGCGGCTTGCCATTCACCCTACGTGCTACAGCAGTATCCCAAAAAGGTGACGGGAGAGTGAGGTGTAGGCACTTCGTTCACTTACCTCGCGATCGGCGGTTCTTTTGTTAGCCTCGTCGATGGCGTGGTGCCCCACGAACACCCTCTCGTCCTTACCACACAAAACGGCAACAACGACACCCCCAACGGAGAGGAAAAAACAAATGAAAGACCGGGAGATCGTTAGCACGCACAAACAGCAGCAGTGAATAAACAAGCACGGAGACAAGAACAAAAAAAAACGGAGGAACGCGTACAGACAGGCCGACAATGGCGGGAGATTGACCACCAATTTCAGTGCGGTGCACAAGCATGCTGCATTAATAAATAAGTCTTTAAGTGTAGTTGTTTGTAACGTTTCAGAAATCAACTGTGCATTACATCAGATGTATTTTTCCCGATACCATTTGCTTCGGACATCGGTCTTTGCGCCTTTTGGTACCGTGCGTGGCTCAGGCGTTTGTTCTAAGCATGAACCCCGTCCAACCATCGCAGACGCAAACAAGACACCTCACGGTCACTAAATATTACTTGCCGACGAGAACATCGAACGCATGCAACAGCTCCAAAGGTACCCATCTCAGCAGGCACGCATGCATGTGTAGTAGATACCTGGCCCGCGATTCGGTCGTACGTTCTCAAGTCCATCCTGCCCACGATGGTGGGGAAGACGCAAGAAGGCTTCTCCTGGCCAGCAAGCCCCATTCTCGTCCAGCCAGAGCCGACGTCCATAACCACCGCCTTCTCGAATAAAACATGCACACCAAGAAAAAGTAAAGCAAGTTCGTCCGTGCGTGTAAAACATGAAAACGAAAGAAGCTTGTGAGTGAAACGAATAAACGTTTGCGCGTGTTAGGACATCCAAAAGAATAAAGTTTCTGCGTGGAACAAGAGACGCAAACCAAACATAAGTTTGTGCGTGCCAAAGCATGCCACGTGGAAAACATGCCAACCCACGTACGTACAAACCCGCAAGAGGCGGAGGGGGGGCACGGAGAAGGGACACAATAGGTATGATTGATTGGCACATCGGCGGGGACTAACAATAGTTGTGGTTCTTAGAGACGCATGGACCGACCGATCATCAACGAAAAAGCCCATGGGCAACACTGCGTGCGGTTATTTTTTGGCATCGACCGCAACGGAACGGCGTGGAATGCACACATGGAAAGCCCCGCTTTGCGCACCAGTGATGGCCGCGAGGGTTGGAGATTGTGGGCAAGGTTTGGAAGAAATTCACGGATGGATGATTGAGCGGAAAACATGCGTCGTGACAGGGAGATGGGTCTATGGCACCGGCGTGGGAGTCGTGCGGTGCGGCTGTGTGGAAACTGGTCGGAAACGGTGTGGGTGCGGGTGGAATTGAACCCGAAGAAGTGGGATTGCGGGGTTCCGGCGAAACACGCGGCTTTTCAATGGTTTCGTGATTCCGCTTGTTTGGCGAACAAGTGACTGACTGACTTGACTCGACTGACTGTGGACTTCACCCCGATGAACACTTTTTGCGATCTTGTGCGGTCATGTTTTCGGCGCAGGGCCTGTTTCAACCCTTTGGGGTCTACAGGCGTCCTAACTGATCATTGATTGATCACTTGCAGATGATAGTGTTGTGGCATGCCATGGAGTTGTTACCCTGTGTCCCTCCACGCCAGGTGTTGACAAGTCAATACAAGGTAGGTGTGTCTTTATTATTCGCATCGACCGCGCTACCCGGTGGCCAATGAAAAGACGTTAGTGCCAGCGGGTTATATCAGGTCCCTGGTACGGCCAAAATGCGAAAAACGCACACTGCTCTAAATGCAAATGCCACCATGAATCTCTCGCCATATCCTTTCACAGAGGCACGCATCAATAGCTCCACATACATGCCCTCGCCCGAATCTAGCAAGCCACTCAAGGAAAGCCAGGATGACAGCAAAAAGGGGCACTTCAAGCCCGACCAGGCCAGGATATGATCGTGGTATGCTGCACATGATCCAAAATTGAAAATCGTACACTCCCGAGATCCAGCAGTCGTCATGTCAGCAGCTATACTATACAGCAGCAGCAGTATAGACGAGTCCAACATACATTAGTAACACATAGACTATCATCATAGCCCTACACAAACCCTCGCCCGAACCTGGAGAGCCACTGATGCAAAGGTAGGTGTGTGCTGTGGTGTGCCTGCGTGCTTGTGGGAATTGTGGGAAAATCACAGGAGCTGTAGTGAGCCGGCAGGGCTCACATTGGGGAGGGGACAGAGAAGTACAGAAGTACAAGAACCAGCTATTGGTCTAAAAGCCCTCTCACTGATCATTTTCACTCATCAATTGAATATACTGAAAACAGAGTAGTTTAGGCTGCTTGAAGACTGACCTTTTCGAGGTCTACAAGCCTAACCTGCCCTACCGGCCGCACCACTACCATACATCAACCCTTCTGTGATCCTGTATGTGCCCACCGTCCCGTCGCGGGCAGCCCTCATGGCCTATGGGTGGAGATAGCTGTTCCGTCTACAGAAGTACGCACGTCTCTTTCTGCTGTATTTCTGTCTCTTTCTCCCGCATTCTCTCCTCCCTATTTTCTTTTTTGCTGAAAAAAGAAAAAGAGCTAGACCCTAAGAGGTTAACGTTATCAAATTGCACCAAAATTGAGGCCCTGCAAACAGTAAGTTTCGGGGGGGTGCCGGGGGCCAACGACGCTGATTGGTCAACAGGAAAACACCCGATGAGGCTTCCTCTGCCAGGAACAGCGGGACTTCCGTATTGGGTGCAGCAAAAAAACACTGCAAATCGAATTGTTTCTTGCTGAATCGATGTGCCCGAGTTGCACTGCGCCCCTTTTGCACCCCCCGTGAGGAGCTAACTCGAGCTGGCGCTACCCCTGACGGGACTGCAAGTGGCATACTGGCCGTGCGGCACCCACACGCATTGCCCACTGCCCGCTGTTGGGAAATAGCTGTATTTCAATGAGTCTGTGAGCGTGCCAACTTTTCGCGCTGGTTGGGTTGCTGCGGAGGTAACTTTCCAATACGTGCGATGTCAACAGTCAACGGCCGGTGGTGTGAAGCGGGACAGTCCAAACAACAGCAGTTGTAGAGCAAGCCTGAGGATGAGGCTTGGACCGCTGGCACCGCCAGCTGATGCTTAGCTTCGTGTGTGTGCTTATGTATTTTTACCGCTCCCTTGTGCCCCCCCCCCCCTCCTTTCTGGACTTAAGTGGGTTGGCGCTGTTGGCAAAGCGCTGAAAAACACGCCACCCCAAATATAGCCCCCATAGTATGCGCTACCAAAGACGCGTGACGCATCGACGAGTGGAGTGAGGATAGCTGTTTACTGAAACCACACAGGTTGAGTGATGTAGGAGATTGCCGGACATATAGACGTGTTGAGTGCTATAGCTGTATACTGAAACCTCAAGGGTTGAGTGAGGTTTGAGATTGCCAGACACATGGACGGGTTGAGGGGGGATAGCTGCATACTGAAACCCCACGGGTTGGAGTGCCGGACACACAGACGCTTTGAGTGAGGAAAGACAGATACTGAACCTCACAGGTGATTTGTGATGGAGATTGCCGGACATATAGACGGGTTGAGTGGGAATAGCTGAATACTGAAACCTCACAGATGCATTGGTTTTTTAGTTTGCCAGACACATGACGGGTTGAGTGGGAATTACTGCATATTCAAACCTGACAGATGGATTGGTTGTTGAGTTTGCCAGACACATAGACGCGCTGAGTGGGGATAGCTACACACTGAAACCTCACGCGTTAAGTGATGTTGGATAGTGCCGGACACATAGACGCTTTGAGTGAGGAAAGACACATACTGAAACCTCACAGGTGATTTGCATTGGAGATTGCCGGACACAGACGTGTCGAGTGAGGATAGCTGCATACTGAAACATCACAGATGATTTGTATTGGAGATTGCCGGACACATAGACGTGTTGAGTGGGGATAGCTGCATACTGAAACCTCACGAGTTGAGTGATGTTGGATAGTGCCAGACACAGACGCTTTGAGTGAGGATAGCTGGATCTTGAGACATAATGGGTTGAGTGACGTTTGCGACTGCCGGACACATAGACGCATTGAGTGAAGAAAAGGTGCATACTGAAACCTCACAGGTTGATTTGTATTGGGGATTGCCGGACACATAGACGCGTTGAGTGAGGATAGCTGTATACTGAAAATCCACAGTGGCCATAGTGAGGGGACAATTCGAGAATGCAGTACACATAGACCAGACCCCCAACCCGTACCCGAACCCCCCCTGAAAAATAGAGGCCATGCGCCCCGCCCCCCCCTCTACCTCCCCCAGAGGATGAGGAGGGTACAGTCCAAAGTAAGCACAAGCTTGCCTAAGGTTAATGCCTTTTGGTACGGCATTAAAACAAAAATACATAAGTCCCCCATTGGGCGGTGGAGGACTTAAGAGCTAAGACACCCCAAAACTCTTCGGCGTGAGCTCCAACATTGATCGGACGGTGGAAAGGGGGGGGTGTTCTCTGCTTGAAGTGGATCAATAAAACATAGAGCCATCAAAGCAAAGCTGTATTATATAAGGAATTGTTGGCCAAACTTTCGGCAGATAGGTCTACTCGGGAGCGTAAGTGGGGTAGCAACCCATGGTGGAGCGTACATGAGAAGCTGGACGTTGGTGTACGCCCCATCCCGGCGTGTGAGTAGGATCTTAGGCTA